GGGGGGGGGGGAGGGAAACCAGATATGACACTAGCGAACCAAACTCAGAACTCAGAAGAACATAACTGAAGTGATTATGATCAACATGTTTGTAAGGGCCGTGTTATTCACTGTAACATGCCCACTTTCAAGATTACGATGACCAGTCTTAGCATCTATACCTTATCAGAGCTGAAGTTGGCAAGAAAACACCCAAATGACCAACTGGGAGACCCAAAGGCTGCAATTAATCAAACGTGCAACTAAACAAAGACTCATTTCTGCGAAATTGTTACTATTCCCCAGAACAGCTTGTATTGAAAGATCAATCCCAAGAAGTCTTAACTTTTACAGTTAATCTTAACATTAACCAGATTATTATACTATGCTTTCAGAAAGAGGGGAGAGTTACAAATGCAGCACCCTCTGGGACCTGATCAACAGTTACTCAACCGACAACAACGTAGCTAATCGAACCTTCACACAGCGGAGAGATTTGCAGTGTTTACTAGAAGTTTGCAGAAACAAAAGATGGGAGTTGTGCAACTGAGGCAGGGAGAAAATTTTCTGTTGCAGAATGAAGATACTGCCCGACGACCTTGACAATTCTGTAAACAGTTATGTTCTCAGTTTCAAATAATCAAATGTGAATCTACTTGAAGGCCTGTATACCAAGCTGACACTTTGAACAGAATTATAAATACGAGGGAGTGAAAAACCAAACGTGTAAAAGACCCAGGACTTCACAGACTCTGGCAAAACAGAGACAAAAATACTGAGCAAAGTGATTTCACCTTTGCTAAGATTAATTTAATTACATACTCTTCTGCTTTCCTGAAGTGTCCACAAACTTTCACCTGTTCCTCTAACATCTCACATACAGCAAACAAATGATGGCACCGTGTCCTTGAGCTGACTCCCAGGAGATTTTGCATAGAAGATAAGGCTACCAAGACTTTCAGCAAACACAGCTCTTCAACAGACACCCTCAGCAGGCACTGAGCCCCAGTCAGACTGAGGCAGCTCACTTGTTTCTTGCCTTCCAGCAGGAGCCAGCCCCAATTCTGAATGTTTCTGAATTACACCACAGGGGAATTCTGCTCACTGGGATTACCTGGGGGTCAATGTTTTATTTAGTTTGGTGAAATAATGAATGACTGCACTTCCAAAAAAGTTTGGCAGCTATGGAGAAAAAGCAGCTTTGCCAAGATTTACTGATGTTATCCCCAGTTAAACTGTAATCTTAGTTCTTTGACCAGCTCAAGGTCTTTTTCATGTTGAAATGCACATGTTCGACCTGGGAAGAGGGAAAATGGGACTAAATTGCTGTAAAATATACATGGTGACTAAAACTACATAATTTTTTATTATTTTTTTTTAATCTTCCAAAATCCCAGTCCTTGGTTTATGACCTTCAGGTTTAGAGCTTTCACTACCTCCTGCAAAATAAATACTGGTATCTTTGATGGGTTATCCAGGGACAAATCACAGCAGTTTGCACAGTCTCCTGCTAGGGTCAGTCTTTTTTTTTACTGTTACAGTCCACAGGAATGTAAAAAGAGGATTTAAAGATAGATCCACTTCTTCAACTATTTAGGCACGCCTGCAACTCCAGAGGTTTGGCAACAGGCAGCATGTAGAAACTTCTACTGAGTAAACAGGTTTGTCCAACACAAGTTATAACCAGAGATAACAGGCAAATTAGGGCAAAAGCAAAACCAGACGTCTCAGGATGTTTTGTCCTGCTCATAATCTGCCTTGAAAAGAACAGAAAAGCTCTAAAACTGGGAGTGGGAATGCACTGGGAAGGGAGGAACTTTGTTGCTCAACTTGTAGTAATTACACTGGACATGACAGCACAAAGGATATGGAAAGGTAACAAGATTAAAAGTAAAGACTCCTATTAAAAGCTTTGCTTTTAATTAAACACTCTTGTGTGCTGACTGAGATCCAAGTTTGCCTTTGTCTGGTCAGATACACCTATATGATGACACCATAAAATCAATCTCATTTTTAGCAGTCTGAGAAAAACAAAAAAAGTTTTCTGCTTCTACAAAACCGACCTTCAAAGCGTGACAGCTCTTCTGCTGAGTTACCCTGCCACCACTGCAGTGACACAACTCAGAGAGCAAGCCCCACGTGGGAAGCAGGAAAAGGATATGCAACTCAGGTCTAGCTGTCGGGTCAGGAAACATACCCTTTTCAGGCAACAGATCAGCACATTTGCCCCAGTCCAGCCCACCACATAGACCAGAGCTGGTTATACTAAGAAAATAATTCAGCGTTAGGCTTGGGCAAGATTTTGACAGTCTCCCTCCAGTAGAGACACTTATACCACGAGCACTTTTCTGACAGGAGGGCAAGCCTACACACTGAGGCCAAGGTGTGCCTAAGCTCAGACGTGGTCAGAGATATTTTTAACTGCATCCATGATGATGGCTTTGCCAGTTTCATGAAAAAAGAACTGGGACCAGCACAAAAGTGATGTGCACATTAAAATACCACTGAGGCAAAAGAAGTGGCAAAAGACCTTGTTCTGCCCCAAAAATACTTTAGCCTTGCCACAGAAACATGCTGTAGATATGACTCTGAGACACAGAATATTCACTTAGGACCACAATTTTATGATTTTGTCTGCAAGTTACAAATGCAAGCCCATGATCCCACCCACAAACCTTTCCACTTATGTACACACATCTGGTGTTTTGCATAAATGTGAAAAAAGACTTTTACATCTCCTTGCATGTGTTGGTTTTGTTGTGGGCTTTTCTGTTTTGATTTGGTTGTTTTTTTTTAACTGAAAAATGGGGATACTTACTGCATTTGAGGAGGAGTGCAGCAAAGGCAGAAAAAACTCTGTTGAGCTCTAAGCAAAACCATAAAAAGCTGAGACAGAAGAATCATGAGAAGCTTGACAGTTACCCTACTTAGGTGGTCAAACTGTTTTGCTTCCCTTGGTTTAGATTTGAGATTATCTTTCCCACTGAATATTTGTCAGTGTTAGTTTAATTGCCTTTTTGGATTCTAAATCCTGCTTTAGCAGAAACACAATTTTTTTTGGTACTATCAACATCTGTTCTAAATTGCATGGAATGGTACTTGTAAGTTTGCAATTTCTCAAATTTAAAACAAGACATATACTTCAGGTATTTACTTTTAAGCTGCAAAGGCCTAGGCCAGGGGGCGGGGGGTGGTGTGTGTGTGCGCTCATAATATTTTTTCCCCCTTCTCTGTGAGTAAGCAATAATCAAAGGGGTACACTACTAAAACATTCAAAGTAAATTATTTCTGCGGGTTGGGGGAAGCTGTTTAAAGGTCATACTTTTTCATCATCTGTTTACTACATGTTCTGTGCCTAAAGCCTTTCTGCCACTGAGCATAAGGAGCTATTTAGAACATACTGAGAGACCTTACAAAGCCAGACTCAGCGGGGTAGATTCAGGTGCAAAAAAAAATATATTTTTTCTACATACACACTAACCAAG